GATGAATGCTCAACATCATAGCTCTGCATCATTTTTCATCCAAGTTTTTGGGGGAAAAATAATTAAGTAATTAATCTAAAATATATATATATCAGTATTATTAACAAAGTATTAGTAGTAGTAATAGTAGTAGTATTTGCCTACAGTCAAAAGACAGCAGATATGGCCAGGAAAGGTGAACATGACTCGAAGAATGAATCGCAACTGTACAACTTACAAAGACTTGAAATTGAGTAGCAATATTGACATGGTGCTCACCGACTTTTACGACTGAGTAAACGTAAGTCTCCGCAGGCCGTTGCTGGGGAGCAGATGTTTTATAATGGGCTCTTAAACTGAACGCTTCACGTTTGATTACAGCCAGAGACAGACTCTCGTTTAACTAATGACCGGAACCTCCATTAGGACAGCAGGAAAAAAACTGGTTTTCTCATTTCACTCCAAGCTGGGTAATTGCCCCCCAAAATGACACTGTGTGATTATCTCACTGTCCCATCCTGCCGCCGTGCTGACAGGTCTGTTTCCATCTGACTACGGGTGTCCAAACATATGCTGTCACACACTAGACTGTGACAGGGATGTACTGCGCAGGCAAGCCACAAAAATTCAATATTTGCCATTACTCTCATGCGAAAGCACCACGAGGAATAAAGTGTGTGTGGTGGAATAATTTGTTATGAGCTTTGCCTTTTGTCTCTTTTTTCTCTTCTTTTAAGTTCAATCATTTAAATGTCAAAATGGTACTGGCAATGATCAAATCATACTTTATAACCTATTATTAACATTTCAAATGCATCAGTCACAAAATGACAAGCCAGATTTCTTTTTTCCACATAGGTTTTTATGTATCATACTGAATGTTATCATATACAGTGGCTTCAAAAATATTAGGACACTTAAGCCTTTAAAATGTATCATTTATTAGCCTAGATAAAAACATAACAAATATCATCACATTAACTATGGACATTGATGATCAGATCACAATCAGATAGTACCTGATCATGATAAAATTATTTTTATTAAAAAATAGAGTGTGATCCGATGCAAGGACATTCTGAGCACATTCAATGAGGTGTGAACACTAATGTGTTTTCATGATCAACTATACAGTGATACAGATGCTGCATTACAAATAATCATTATGCATCACTTTGTCAGACTTGGTTGTAAATTTTCCATCATGCTCTACTTTATCCATAAATAAAATATTGTAACTCTTGGCATTTTTAATGTGACATTTATATCGCAAGAGCTTCTGTAAAAAGAGCTTCTTTAGTCTTACCAAGTGCTTTGTACTTGGGGATAGATCGTGCAGGTTCTTCTTTTATTCTCTCTCTCGTTTTTCTCCCCAGATCCTCACTCACGTGTCTCACCCAGGTTTTCACGGGGCCTTTTAAAACTTTATTTTCTTCCCTTTTCTTTGCTTCTAATCCTTATTAGCATCCTTTACTGTGGGAATGTTTATAAAGTAGGGAAACGCAGTAGACCATACATATTATTTTTATCTGTCAAAATGACGGAAAGCATTTGGAATTATCCCTCAATGTTTTTCAAATTCAGTAAATAATGGAAAATGTTTGATGAACACAACCTCAGTTGCAATGTAAGTGGCGTTTTCCGTTTTGTGCAGATGACAGTGATCGGATCTCTATACAGTCACACTGGAGAGTGCAAAGTGCAAATGCAATTCAGCTAAAGAATATCAAAATACTATCCTGATACAAAATGCAGGTTAATGGCAAGGGAATAGCAACCATGACCAGATAGTGTCCTTTTTTCTTCCTTTTTTGTCTTCAATTAATAGGGATGCACTAATTAGGACATTCTGTTTCTTTTATTATTTTTTTACAAGCAGGAAGCCATATGCTTTAGCAAAATGCACCATGCTGTACAGACAGCAATTTGGCAATTTATTTTCTCAAATGTCAACATTTATGGGAATATTCATTTAAACAGTTTTGTTGTCAGTGTCAAAGAGGTAAAAATGTTACACAGCAACACACTGTGAGATTTCAGCATCACACACATAAAGGATGTGTCTAAAAACAAGACATTTTTAGTACTAAAACTACTCAAGTAAATAATCATTAGAGTCACCTATTTTACTACATTATTTAAAGTTTTGTTCAGGTTAAGTAACACAAAAAACTAATAACTAAATATTTGCGAGAAGTAACTCAGTACAGTTACTGCAGGATAAACTGTTATTGCTGTTATTATGGTGAACATACATCTCTGGCGAGCTCTTAACATGGGCCTGTCACAGACTAGCACTGTGACAAGCGACTCTGAAGTCAGTGAGTGCGACTGAGAACGTGCATGTGTGCACAAACTACTGTAACAAAACACGTGCAGTATGACTGCTGGTGCCCATGTCACATCAATTATACCCAGGGTTGAATTTGCATCTATGTTCATTGTTTAATTCACTGCAGTTTATTATTGCAACAAGGCGATGTTTTAAATCATGCACATTTAATATTTCATTTTACATTAAATCAGAATTTAGCCTTGGACATCGTGCATGCAGTAATACTGACTCTGATGTAAAGCATGATCATTCAATCTCTGATAATAACAATAACCCTAAAGAAATAAACTAAAAACAAAAGTTCATATATGCCACAGAATCACCAGTCATGTCAAGAACTATGAAACACCAACTAATTCTAAACGGACAGAGGCTGAAGTGAGGAAAGAACAGGAATCATTATGACAGGTGTCTTGCCACATTCATGACAGGGTTAAAATAGGCCTCGGTGACATGGTGCATTAGACAGTGTTGGAGAGGAAACACGGTACACACTCCACTCTGTACGCCTGACACAAAGAGGTCACCCGGTGCAAAGATGGTGATGTTGTGTCATGCCCAGACACGGCGAACACCATTACACTTTCATGTTGTTTGCATTCGCAAATACATCAAACGGCCCGAGACAGTGGTTGGAAATGAAACAGCCAGCAATCTTAAGAGACAGTGAACTTCTGCGGCGGCACAATTTGCCTTAAATGTGCCCTTAAGGTAACTCATGCCTTTTTGAATGCGACTTAATGGAAAATTGTAACAAATTATTTCCTTCAATCTAGATAAGGAGGCGCCGCTCTGATTCAATCTGAGCGCCGCTAGACTCCACATACTAACAAATGATTACACACAGCATGAGCAGAATGTTAAGACATTCAGCAGGCTTTCCATCCAGATCTGAGGCAATCAGCTTCCTTTAATCAAACTCCCTGAGCAATAAAATACAATTCTCTCTCTTGATTGGACGTACACATGCTGTACACAGATTTCTCTTGAATGTGCATTTCTGTCCTTTGTAAGTTTATGTTTACCTTTAGGTTGACTTCCTCTGGCACATCCTGCAAAAAAAAAAAAAAAATGATGCAGCTAAGAAAGGAAATTCCTTTGTTTCTATTCTTTTTTCATAAAAGTATTAATTTGCAATCTGGGAAAGACAGATACAGCTGGCACTAAATTTCTCAGTTGTTCTACTATGATTTAACAAGATGCTTTAGTGGGCCGTTTTGATTAATATTGGATGGAGCGACTGAAATTACATCCCATTTTACTGTTAAAGGGGTCATATGATGCGATTTCAAGTTTTCCTTTCTCTTTGGAGTGTTACATG